GGGGCCTGGCTTGTACTTGGGAACAGGGCGTTCCAGAAATGGGTCATGACTCTTCAAGGTGAAGCCTGACCCTGTCCGGTTTAAGCATTGCCTTTATGTCTGTCCTCTCCAGAACTTCATGTAGCAGCCTAACACTGGGGCCAGTTTGCCTTTACTCTCTTTTCTATAATGAACACTTGTGGAGAAACTGTGACAAATCCATTGATCCTAGTATTTTTATTGTTGGAGTCTTGTGGATTCTCTATGAATAATTTCTATTTGATTGTACTGTGTAGAGTTAATACCCACTAGGGATATGTTAATAAAACTACAAATGCATAATGTAATATAGAATAGCAAAAAAATTTTGTGAACAATTTATATAGAAAGTAAGTTGTTTTTTAAGTGTTAGGCATATTTCTTTTAGGAACTTAAAATGTTATAAGAGTTTTTTAAACATTCAATATTTTTAATTATAAGAGACATTTGTTACTAGAGCCAATTATTTCAGGTGTTCTAATTGGAGTATTGATTTTATTACCTCATATACCTCTAGAATGCCACATGTTCTGTTGGGGATAAAAATTGCACAATAAATGTCAAGTCTCTGTTAAGTGTTTAACTTGCTCTTTGCTTCTTTCCAATTCATTGTAAAAGGTTGTGGGTTTTTTGGTTAGGGAACTTTTTTCCTCCTGATGCTGTCTTTTTTCCTTGCCTGAGTGCAAAGAAAATATTATGTGCTTAATACTCAAAAAAAGATACTCATTTATGTCCGAGAAAAAAATTATGTCATGACAAAAATTCATCCAAAAATTAATTTGATCTTGTGAGTAAAGGGGACAGCCCGCAATGATCTGGGAACTGATTACGTAATTAAAGAGGATTTCTAACCAATATTTTGTACATTACACACTAAATGTACATGCTTCTCATTCATCATACTATTTTAGCAGGAAGAAACTCTACAGTTGCTACTCATTACCTATAAAAATGAACACATGTTGATATTTGATGCATTTGAACAGTGCACTGAGTATATAAGTGAAATGGGTGACATAGTTATAGCTTCCCACTTTGATTACATAAAGTCTAATCCGACATAACCATTATAGAACAGCAAATTGAATTAATATTTCATAAACTCAAGTAAAAACTAAGACAAAACATTCATTTTAGGAAAACTATACATTCTTTTAATTTTGCTCTAGAGGTGCAAAGTTTTAGGGATAATTTTGGGTGAAAAGCAGTGATTTGGTCCAAATAATTTAGATTAGAATTGGAAAGTCAAAATGAAATTAAAGTTATTCTAAAGCATTTAAAGTGATTTATTAACTAATGAGATATTTAATATGTTATAGCAAGGGACACAAGGTAAAGCTACTGATCAAAAAATTGGTAAGCTAGGTTGTAGGACATCAATATGCAGAAATAAGCTGTGTTTCTATACACTGGCAATAAACAACAAAGATGATGGAATTCTGCTTCCAAGAGTATTGTAAAAAAATACCTAGGAATAAGTATCACTGGAAGGCACTTTAAAAGACCTAAAATAATAGATAACCCATGATAATGGGATGGGAAAATTAACTACTGTTACAAAAGAAGTAACT